CTCCCTCGCTACGCTCGCAGGCATCAGCCTGCCTCCTTCCTTTGCCAATATACAAACCATACCAACACATTCCTTACAACAAGTTCAACTTGTTTAAGGAATGGGGGGCCTAGATGATGTGGTCGTTAGTAGTGGCTCGTGAGGAACCGGTTGTGATCCGGTCATCATTGTCAATATGAAGGGGATCGGCTAAGGATTATGGTAGTCGGGCGGTTGGGAGTGCTCGGCGTCGCATGGTGTTCGGCGCCCCTCAAGTGCTCGACATTGGAGGTGGTCGGGATGAAGTGTCTGGCGCGGCATCGTCCGGTATGATGAGTGCCCGGCGTAGGGTGAATGTTCAGCGTGGGCGAGTGCTCGGCGTAAGGCCATCAGCGGGTGCTCGGCCTTGGGAGGTGCCCGACGGCCCTCGTGCGCTCGACGGCCCTCGTGTGTTCGGCGGCCCTCATATGCCGTCGAAGGGGCTAGAACCTGAAGATGGCTTCGGGATCAAGTTACGAAGTTGTTGGTAGTGACAAGGACTCTTACAATTGAGGATGTTCTTGACCTAATTAAGTAGTTCACACAAGAAAGACTTCTTATCCCACTGGGACTCTCCAAATTTCTCCTATAAAAGGGAGCAGGTTCATTCATTTTACACAACACACATTCACGAGTTATCTCGTTACTCTGTCGTTTTCTCTCTAGACCATCACTGACTTGAGCGTCGGAGTGTTCGCGCTGGGACCACACCCGGCGTGCTTTGCAGGTACCGACGATCAAGGAGACGCAACCCGGATCGAGAGGAGCGGTCCAGCGGTTCGAGTATTTGTGGTATAACACTTTCCAAGTCAACCAGACCCACTTCAAAGTCCATACTCGCGATTTGCATGGGCATGCTCAATGCAGTACAGGGTCTGTTGCTTTAGTACGGGGCTACCCTGTACTCTTCTGTTTTAGCATTATTTCCACTCATATTCTTGCCTCCAAAATTATCATGCACTAGATAATCTCAAAAACGCTGAAAACACTAACAAACTCATCAAGACACGAGAATCATACATAGAATCAAATAAGCCGAAAAATGAACAAGTGCGAAGAATTAAACGTGCAAAAATCACGACATTAGACGGTTAATACAAGCACATTTTCCAACTAATCATCATCTATCTACAAAAAAAATACAAGCATGATAATGTAACAAAATGACAATGGTGCACTTTATGTATCATCACGTTGCACTTTATAAAATAACACGTTGCACTTTATGTATCTTCTTCTTCTTCTTCTTCTTCTTCTTCTTCTTCTTCTTCTTCTCCTTCTCCTTCTTCTTCTCCTTCTCCTTCTCCTTCTCCTTCTCCTTCTCCTTCTCCTTCTCCTTCTCCTTCTCCTTCTCCTTCTCCTTCTCCT